CTGCTGTTGTCAAAACAACAACTTTTTCACAACTTTTTTTATTATAGAAAAATGTTATCTCAAATAAAAAATACAGAAAATCGACAGAAAACATCAGAAAAAGTTGAGAGACTACAAAACTTTTCAATGCATCAATCATTATTGCAATTATCACTTATGCTAACCAATAGTAAAATACCTTTCTTTAATCTCTGTCTAATAAACATTATACATTATTTTAAACAACTTCCATTTTTGAAATACTCTAAAAAAAATCAAAAAATGCTGTTTACACTTGAATATGATGAACTAAATATAGACTTGACAAAATTTTCCGAAATTTTGAACAGTTTCCTCATCCTTCACTGGTTTCAATGTAACATACAAAAAAAAGTACAGAAAAAAAAAACTCGATTGAGATTTATGTGATCAGTTGGAACGACGAACCAGACTACAGTTATGATGAATCTTTTAGTAGTGATAAATCGCTGGACTTTACAACCAGAAACTTTAAAAGCCTATTTAAAATTGATTCTCCTCAGAAACGATGATGTTTGAATAACAATACTACAAGCAGTTATAATGACCATAGTTGATCATTATTTTCTGAATCACCGTGAAGTTTTTAACCTAATAACAACTACTACATAACTGAGTTATTGTTTCCCCAAAATAATTTAATAAACAAATAAATGCCTAAACATTGATCTGCCTCTAATGAGAACAGATGCATAGCGGTTAATCAGCACCTATTTCTACTATTACTTCAGTTGTAAAGAAAAAAATCTAAACAAGTAACCTGAATCAAACTACAAAATTCACCGGGTATCGTAAATTTTGAACAGTTTAACAGAATAAAAACACTTGGTGGTCAAAGCAATTCCTACAAAAGCGATACCTTTAAAAAATGTGTTTGTAATCAATCACGTTCCAACTAAGTGTTTGGTCAAAAAAAGTAATAAACGAAAAAAAAATTTAACTGAAAGAAACCTTCACTTTCTGATAACTTTAAAAAAAAGAATTTAATCCTCTTATTTGATATAAGTTCTAAATTGAATGATTAAAATTCAACAGAAAAAAACCTTCAAAAAAGCACAAAGTCATTAAACTGTCATACAATCACAAAGATACTGAGAGCAATAAATAAAAAAGTTGAATAACATTCATCAACTATTTGAAGTGTACCTTCTTGGTACACCAATGTCAAACTGAATATAGTGCTATTATCATTAAACCCCCTTTGATTTTGATAAATTAAGTTCCACTGTAATACCCGCTTTCGAGATTTGGAACCCTCTTAAAACTCTGACGATAGTCGAACACCGCTATTCATCCGATGGACACTCCACCTTAAAAAAGTTCATAAACTTAAGATTTTATAATAGATTTGCAAATAATAAGTTTTACGCGCTGATAAATCAAAACTAATGTATGAAAAACAACAAAACTGAAAGAGTTGTCTTTGGCACAAAATAAAATGTTTCGTGACAAATGAAAACATTATGGTGATTGATAAATTAGGCGCCTACTTTTGGAATCTTAGGTGGAACTACCGCATCAGTCTCGGTTTCCCTTTTACATTCCAATTCTTTAGATTCAACCTCCTCCTTACATTCCAAGTCAGCAAATCCAATTTTAAGCTTTCCGTCTGAAAAAATAAAACTCAATAAACACCGGGTATTGGAAATAGAATTGAAAAAATTTGACAAGACTCAGACAAATAATAGTTTTTTCTAAGTCCGCAAAAAATTCACAACGCAATCAAAATTTTTTTTAAACTGTACCTTTAGAGTCCTCACGAACTTCCACCTCGCATTTAAAATCACTTGTTGGTTCAATTTTGGCTTCAGTTTTGCATTCAGATTTACACAGATAACTTCTAAATAATAAAATTTTATCTACTTAAGAAAAGAGACTGTAAGAGTCATGAAGATAAAAACTTGGTAAGTTACCTCAGATACTCGGTTACTTTTTGCACATAGTGTGAACTAGCGTTCTTGTCAACAACATTCGGAGAAACCCATAGTGGTCGTAAAATCTTCACAGTTTCTGCTATTTCCGAGAAAGAACAGTGATTAGAATAGAACAGCCGACAAAAATGATTATGTTCATAGCCAAGTGCACTGAAATTTTTCTTTTTTAAAATCACAATTTTTTCAGTAAAATATCGAAATAATTTGAACCGCTATAACAGATCTTCCTCAGTAAATTTTCCATGCTTATTGAAAACCGTCCAGAAAAAAATAGCAAAAAATCAAGCCTAATTAAGCATTATCTTTTACATTATACTTGAACTTCATATACGCCTCCGGAGTCTCAACTAACTGAAACCAACACAGAAAGTGGAACAACTAATAATAAAAGTAATTAGCAAATTCATAAAAATTCCGCCTAAAGCTTACTTTTCTTCTTGTCGACGAGCAAACCATATCGTTGAAGGCCTTATCACCTTAACCATTTTATTATCTGGCCTACAAAGACCACATGGAAAAATCTAAACCAGAGCCCTTATTGATTCACAGACAAATAGCAGAAAATTTTTGAAAAAACCCACAGCATACTTTTGGAACAGTTTTTTGAAACATTTTTTCTAAATTACTGTAGAAAAAATAAAAGTATGTGCCCATTAAATGTGAAAAGCTACAAGTACTAAATAAACCTCAGAATTATAAGTACCTCTAGGCAGTGTTAAAATATCTCAAAATCCATTAAACTGCATTTTTTTCACCCTTCCTCTTTTTCCATTCACTATCAATATTAAATTGGGAATGTAGATGCTTTAAACTACATGGTAAAAATCGTCAAAATAGCAGAAAAAGTGGAAAAAACAACAACAACAGAGCAGAAAAGTGACCAAGATAAGAAAAGCGTCCATGTCTTTAGCTGATTACTGATTTACTCTTGTTATTTACTTTTTTTGGTAGTTCCTACTAGAAAGTTGAATTGTCACAATCTTAAACAAACTTAGTCATCCAGTAAATTTTACATTAATTGCTATTCTGCGAAAAGATAAAAAGAAAAAGTAGAAGAAACTTTAAAAATTTGAAAAATTTCTAACTTGAGGTTTATATTTCCGGCTTCTCGTCTTTACTACGCTTTGCTTGCGTTCTTCGTAGCACTCGTCCAAGGCGCTGATTCCGGTTGTGCAGGCATGAACTGGAGTAGATTCGGCAAAACAAGTTACATATTTAGCAATGTCAGGAATTTCTGTAAATTTATTTGGTAATGTGTTTGCTCTTTGGAAATCAAAAAAATATCGCAAAAAAGTTTAATAACTGTTTGAAAAAAGAAAAGCTTAGAAAAATTTAAGACTTGAGTAAATCCTAAATTTGTCAGCTGAAACATGGGTCTTATGTCCTGTTTTCTCCCAAATCGCTTGCAATAAATACTCCAGTCCATAGGCTGCTGTAACTATTACACAATAAATCCCGGATTAATCTGAACGATTTAGATACAAAGAAACACAGAAATGATAGTGTGAAATACAGTTCATCAAGCCATAACTAGGACCTACTTCCCCAAATTAATACTTTATGTGACGAATGTTTGTCCAACCAGTCCGATACCATTTTTAGCAGTAACTGCTTACTTTGTTCTTTTGAAGGCGTATTCATAGTTTCTTTTCTACAGAACGTACTGTCAAAATACAAAGAATTGATCATTTTAAAGCCTGTGCTGCAATATGTGACCAGTAAGTGAACTAAAATCATTAAAAAAAAAAAGAAAAAGCAACAGATACATATCCATTATCAACAGTTACCTAGTGCACGGATCTCTAATTGGCTTGCAAGAAAGCCAATTATCCTTCAGGAGTCGAAAATCACCTGTATATAACGCCGTTCTACTATCCGGAAATTCAAGAAGAATCCTGCAAAAAATGACCGATGACTGGCGCATTTTAAAAATTCATAAACATCACTACTACACTTGCTCGGCAGACATCCTTAACTCTGTCTACTGGTTAATTGACAAATTAACCTGGGATTTTTGTCTTATTTTTAGGCATTAAAATGTCAAACCGAATTTCCAGCTAATCATTTTTTTTCCAAAATGATATTTTGAAATGTGTTCGATCAAATGCTAAATGAAGCAAAAATTACATAGCTGATCCTGGACAATGCTGGGCATCCAAAAATGTTATATTCACAGACTTTGAAACATTCTTTTTCTCAACATCAGCACCAGCATCATCATTTTCATCATCATTCTGTGGTACCGTTATTGTAAAGGTGTCATCATAATCTTTTCCTACTATACAATCCTAAAACGAAATCATTACGAGCTGAACAGTTTCAGCAAATTTATTCGTGTAGTAAAGATAAAGATGCTAACATCCACTTCTCCGACGAAGTAATGAAAATTATGCTTCACTGAACCAACTACAATTCTGATCAGTAATGCAGTAACTCAGTTGCTAAATTTTCTTTTATTTCTGCTTTATTGCAATATTTATATGAAGTGTAAAGATCCATTCAAAAATTTCTAAAACTTGTTGGTAATTTGACAGCAAAAAAAAGTTGAATTCATTGTAAAACTGCAAAAGTGGCCTTTTTTCGTCAATAGATTTGCAGGTAAAGCCTGTAAGCTGTACAGAAGAACGTACTTTCGTGGACCAAAAAACCCCACTCTTGTTTTTTACTATACAGAAATGTTAAAATTTTCTTTCACAACCCTACTGTTCTGAACCACAAATCAGAGGTGTCAGAACTGATGAATTGAAAGACAACTTGTAGGATATGTAGAACTTAAGAAATTGATTCATAACATACCGTGTTTCATAAAATAAGATTCAGAATTTTTCGACTTCATACAGAAAGTCTCCTGCTAAAACAGGTTATTATTAAACTATTAAATAAGGATAAATTTTACTGTTTTCTTTTCTGAAGAAAATTCCTCCTCTACTGTACATGAAACTTCCTTTTGTTCATGTTTACCCTGCTGATTTCACTTTCTAACCCTCACTTTCTACAGTAGCTGAAGATATGCCGGTAAACCAGCTAATGAGATCAGCCACTAGTGTTAGGATAAGGTGATAAATGTTCAAGATGTATTTCCGAAAATTACGCCAAAAAATGTACATTTACTACATTTTTGAAATAATGACTATAAATGGCCATTCAATTTGATGACAGTTTACTGCTTCTGTACAAAATAGTGAAAAATTCAAAGCAGTCATGTTTGTAATGCTAACACTCCAGTTATCTTTTATAAACTACTTGACAAGTTGATCTGGGAGTTTGAAAACTCTGCACTTACGCTTCAGTCTTTTTTCGCTTAGTGCTTAGTGTGTAAGCTCTGTAACTGAAAAACTTTCACTCAGAATTCAGCGTAAAAATCAAATTCCACTCAAACTGCTTTTTATATCCTTGAGCAAGAAAAGAACACTAACTGCTAAGTGGGAATATCCTTTAGATGATTCTAATATTATTTTAGTTACATTATGGCAATACAATTTACGATTCTTCGTTACAAGAACATCATGAAACGATCCATGATCAAGTCCAACCATATGATCTAAAAATGATACCAAGAAAAATGGTAACAAAACATAATAAAATCAACAAATAACTGAATATTCTGTTAGAATCAAATGCTTCCAGAAAAAAAAAAAAACCTATTTTTTACTGTAAAATAAATCTTTAAGCCAACATTATTGACAAAAGTGTTCACGTCGTATAACTTTATATGTAACTAATCGTGTGATGTTAATCTAAACCTCAGTCAACTGTAGATTTACACTAATTTTGTAGATTTTATTCAAAAATTTTTTCTGCAAATAGACAGTTTATTGGTTTACCAACATTCGCTTTTATATGAATGATAAAATTCCCATAAACAAATTCATTTCAAAACTATTATAGAAATTTACTTTGATACAAATGTTGCTGTATAAGCAGAATCAGTTAACTCCCTTATAATTTTTTTCGTTTATTGTAAATGCAGTAGACTTGAAGGAAAATTTTGACGATGAACTAACCACGATGACAGTGCGACAGGAAGAATACTTCAGATTCCAAATTAATTCCTTGAAAACAATCAATTGATATCCAGTCACATTCCCGTATACGGCCACAAAAAGTACTCATTTCATTTATTTACTTATATAATCACCTATTTTTTTGAGCGCTGAAACAGTATACCGTAGATTAAGATGAAAAACTGTTGGATAACACTGTCAAAAATTTTACTGTTCTGTAATTCTGATCTGTATTCAGCTAAGAAAAATATACCAAAAAATAATGCTTTCAAATATCTCAGATCTGTTAAAAGGATAAGATTTCAGAAATGTAGACTATTTCTGTCATCAACCTCAACTTGCAAAAAAACGTCATTCATTCTAGGAATGATTCCATGCTCTTTCAGAAAGTCATCGTAAATTTAGAACTATTATTTGAAAAGAAAAGTTCTGCCATCAAATGTAGCTAAATTTTTCAAGCACAAAGAAGACAATTACCTTACAAAACAGAGAACTTAATTCAGAAGTGTGAAGCAAAAGAAGTTATATGACAATAAAAGCTACAAAAACAAGAAAAAACAAGAAATTAGAAGTCTGAAACAATCTAAAAATAGAAATAAAGAGAATATTATAAACAGAGCAAGACTAAGACAAAATCCTCAAGGATGAAAGACAATGTTGATAATCTCTGTGACAAAATTTGGCTGAAAAACTATACTGATACTTAAATTATAGAGCAGTGATTGAGAGGTGTATTGTTTGTCGAAAATATATATATATATATATATATATATATATATATATATAGTTTATATATATATATATATATATATATATATATATATATATTATATATATATATATATATATATATATATATATATATATAGGCAAAAATGCTAACTCAAGGCGGATACTGGATAAGACTGTTTTGTATACAATATAATATAATATAATATAATATAATATATATATTTCAGTGATTCACAGATCTAACCAAACTTTGATCAGCTAATTTTTCCTTCTAATTTTGTTTACATTTTCTTCATAATATAATGTTAATTCACCATTGAACTTTCGTAAAACTGTAGCTGGAATTTAAAGTTTTTCTTCTAAGCTTCAAAAATCACAAACTATATTACCAAATAATTTCTTCAATTTGAATCTTAGAACAGCCACAAAGTGTTAAAAGAGATTAAACGATTTCCACTGAAGAGATTCAGATAAATTGCCAACCGATATGATAAAAAAATATCATTCTCGTTAAGAAACCATCATTAAACCTGCGAAAACCACAGAAATATCTGAACAAATTAATTATTAGTAGGTTCTCTTTTTTTTTTCTCTCTCCTTTTGGGAGACAGTTCTTTCGTGTTCTGCTCTTCCATCAATACGTATTAACTTTTCCTGATTAACAGTTAGTTCTCTACATCAACGTGTAATTATTTGGTCGAGATTAATGTGACAAAAATGTGGTAAAGGATGAGTAAACCATATATTACAGATAAAAATATCGTCGTCAAAGAGTATAATATAACAACTGCTTGCAGACAATACCATAGGTTACTGTTGAAAGAAAAAATATTGGCCAATTACTTGTTTGAAACATTGTACGGAATTTAAAAGAAGATGGTTGTAGAATGAAGAAAAAGAAAAAGAAAAGAGGAAAAGAAAGCAAGTGTGGAAAGGTGATAAAAGCTTTGCTTAAACTCAGTACAAAAAACCAGTTCCGTAACAATTAAGACAGCTGATCAATGTTGACCAGAATAATGAATAGCAAAAAATACAAGAAAATAGAAAGAATTGAAGGAAACTGGATAAAAAATACACAATTGTCAAGCTGATAAAATTAATATGGTAAGGAAACCATATGTTCAATGATTTTCGAAATTATTCCTTTAATGCTACACGAAAAATTTAACAATATTTTGAAGGCATATAATTGCAGAACATGTTTATACATGTCGTTTTTTGTCCTTCTGCAAGTGCTCACCTTTGTGCAATCCGAACTAGAGAAGAACTTTTAAGTCCACTTGAAACTGCAGAAAATCACTGATGGAAAAAGTAGCTTAAATACTGTTTCTGCTGTCCTTTTTTTCGGCTACAGTTAGCCGAAACTGTTAGCAGACAACTTGCAAGAGGGTGTAAACAGAAAGTAATTCAGCATCCAGTTAAAAAGATACGTCAAAGTTATGTGGAGCGACGTTGGAAGCCAATGAAGTCAGATAATTTAGCCGCAGTTCAACTTTATCAAAGCGGGTTAACTAGTTGAAAACTGAGTAAAAATTTATTGGAATTTTGCCAAAGACGAATTTTTTTTGTTGATAAATTGCCCGCGAAACAGGGGTTCGTGAAAATTAAGGCTGAGGTGGTAGTGAGGGAACGAGTGGGAGTATGTAAGGGGCGATAAATGGCTGAGAGCTATACAGAATTTGGATTTCGTTAATTTTGACTGCTAATTTCTTATCATTTTCCTAGTTTTTAGTTTGATTCTCCTCTTTCTTTTTTTTTTTT